AGAGAGAGAGAGAGAGAGAGAAGAGTAAGTAGATAGACAGATATATAAGATAGATAGAAAGATAGAGAGAAGGTTAAGTTGAGACCATTTTAGAGTCTCTTGCTCGTTTGGCAAGGATGGCTTTTACTCTGGTCCATCCTTTTCCTTCTAGTATTCACGATTCCTTATTTTTACCATCTACTTTCCCTTCCCCCTCAAGCCCTCTTTCTGTCTCTGTCCCTCTCTCGGAGATTTTGGCCGTAGCCACGAATTTACAAACGAGAAGACTTTGCCAGTGGTAGTTTCTTTGAATTTTAGAATCACGAGATCAAAGAACATCCGATTTGTATATTCCGTTTCTTGAATATTAGCAAATCAGGAGTCTGTCGAGGATAAATATACAAATAAATAATCAATGAGGATAGTTCTATTTTTTGTATTATAATTTAATTTTTTTTATAGTACGTATTTAAAGGGAATATTTGATAAGAACTTAGAAAGAAAAAGAGAGAGGGTTTTCCTTTTTTTTGAAAAGCAGGATATATTCGTTTGACAGGTTTTAATTTCTATATATATATATTTTTCGATACTCGTAGACGTTTAATGAACTACGAATATATTAATAACCGGTGAATATTCATAGTTATATACGTGTGTGTGTGTGTGTGTGACTGAAGACTTTTGTTGGACAATAGGTAGATGTAGTAATATTCCATGAATGTATAATTGATGGTTGCATATCGATGTGTATACGATTGGAATGTTGAGTTACATATATATATATATATATATATATTTATAAATATTCATGATTAAACCTTGCCACGATGGGAGGTGCTATCATACTATATTACATTTCAGAATGCATCCTCGTATGCTCGCGCTTTCATTTCCCAAATAATTGATCGGCACAGAAAATGGTGAGAATCGCCGTGATCGTTTTGTAAGGGATATTTCATCAGTTTATAGGTCGCATATGTTATATACTATAAATATTAATACTTTTTTAATCCTGAAAAAAAAAAAAAAAACAACAGCAACAAAAATCGTTTAATTCGCTGGTATCCGAAAGTTATTCGATTCTCAAAGCACCCTATGTCGAATTTGTTTAACTAGTACGCTTTTTCAAATCGCGAAATTAAATTGGACACAACCAACCACCTTTATTTCCTGTTCGGTATTGATTTTCGCGTGATAATTAGATTTTATCTAACTGCTTAATCACACTTGGAATCACTGATCTAATTTATTTTCACACAAAATTATCACTTAAAATTACTATATAATAT